GCTAATTAAAAGTTGTTGACTAGCATTGACAACGAACCAGAGTACAGCTTATCTATGTTAATGTCCGTGACCTTTCACTTCTGAGGTCCCGGCGATTTTGAAAGACTACTTATACATTATATACATTGGACATTTAAATCGACGTGTTATCAATAAACATGGATGAAAGTATCGCCTGTGCACTTAGAAAGTTAAAGTATCCATCATTGCGATCGAATCAGATCAACCTTTAAAAGGTCATGTTTACTTTCACACACCCACTCATGAATAACCAATGAATCATGAATAATTAATAGCAGTCAAATGCCCGCAGATGCGTCCAGTTGGGATTTCTTTAGCAGTCAGGTTAGTTTTCACGATCACGCTAAAAGAACTAGAAGAACAATTAATTATTTCTTTTTGTAAAACAAAAAAGAAGTCCCGACTTTGCCAGTCTACTATCGTAGTATCATAATTTTATACTAGCTATTATCTGTAATGTATTAGCTTAGATTGTTTTTTTTTTTGTTTTTTTTTAATATTTATTTTCTGTTTTGTAACCTTTTATTCCTTTTTAAACTTTTGTAACCATTGCCAATCCCTCCGGGGAATGTGTAAGTGTTAATAAAAAAATTAAAACTATTGGACAACACTCAGTCATGGACTAGACAAGTTTGTTTGCTCATAAGTCAATATTACGGTGGACATTAATTGAATTGTATCTTAAAACAAAATGTTTATAAATATCATATATTTACCTCTAACGTTTTCTAGAACGTACTGGCATCTCATGGAATACTGGTAGGTGATTTTCCGTTCACTGCGAGATCTCGCATATTGCGTGAAAGACACAGACCGATAGCTAAATACCAAAATGTCGAGCATTGAAAGGGAAATATTGCGTTGGAGTACCCGGGCTTCATCAAAATTGATCATCATCAAATGTCAACGGCACACAGCACATTATTATACATGAAAATACCCCCTAATAATTTCGACTTTATCGAATCCCATGCGATGTTTTGACGTCATTACGACGCTATGACCTTTGTTTGTTCTGTTTTCACGTATAATGTGGCATTTCGCAGTGAATGCAAAAATGTCTATTATACATAATTGTGTGCCTGTGTGTTCTTTGGGTCACCGAACTGTTATTCAAATTAAACTATTTAGTTAATTAAACTACCCAGCGATGGCGGCCATTTTGTCCGCTTTAGAATGTCACTGTTGGGTTCTATGCAAAAGATGCCTTGGAATGTGCAGGTGGTTGCCTTGGTTACCTCAAGTTAAAAGTTCTAAATTTCGTCTGACAGACTACATTTTTTGTAGATCTTTCAAATATTAGATCATCTACATAAAATAGAATTGTTTGTGTAATATTCGCATACGATATTTGACCTGTTTTCAAAAAATATATTTTATGACACATATTGTGATAGCCATGTTTCCATTGCCGGGAGGGGTTACATGGAAGGTGCTTATTGACAAGCCTATTTAAAGCAAACCAAAGTATTTATTAGGGTCGAGCACAGTTGAAGGCTTTCTGGTGAGATAGGGAAAGAGATAAAACTGTGAGTCTCTTTCATCACATGATTGTCATTCACCAATCGACCAATATAGAATTCGCTGCTTCCCAGCGTCATTTACGAACAGTACGTGATAGGTTTCTGCGTGATGCGTACACCGATCATTTCGTCCATAGTTTTCTTTAACAAAGAATTATAATTTGATTGGACATTCACAATGCCGATATGAATAGTTACCGACCGGTGGTGCGCCATGACACTTGAAGCAGGCAACCAATCAAATTAGCACAAAAGAGCGCACATGCGCAGTTTTGACGATTATTCAAGTTATCTCAAGAATCATGGGTAAAATAGAGGAGGTTTCATGGTAAATTGATAACGGCAATATTTTGTAATATTTGGCAATATTTTGTAATCATTATCCGAATTAACTTAATCACGATGTGTTCGTGGTTATCATATGAGGTTATTACGAGGATACTGCAAAGTATGCACGAAGACCGTGGTCTGACCTTGTAAATAACCATATCATTATTTATCTTTTCCTCCCAGAATCAAACATTGGGGGCAGCCATGTTTTTTTTATTAACGGACGCTTACGCGCCTAATCGTTCAATATTTGGAATTCGCGTTTCTAATACGGTAGAATGAAAATATCCAGTGCTATACTGCAAAATTACGGCACGCTGTAACTTGTGGCTTTACGGAGACAGATGTATAATAATATAAGGTTATTACGAGAATACCTCAAAGTATGCACGAAGACAGTACAGCTGGAGTATCGACCGACGCGCAGTGGAGGTCGATGCGCATCGTGTCGGAGTGTATACTTTGTGAGGTATTCTCGTAATAACCTTATTATTATACATCTTACCCTTCCAAGGATACACGATGGGAATGCCAAAATTCAAAATGTTTAGAACAGAATCAGCGAACTTCTTTGTGTGGAGTCAGGTCAAACTCTGATGGCAGCCATGTTTGTTATTAGAGAATGCTTACGTGCGTAATCATTCCATATTTGGAATTCGCATTTCCTAATATGGTAGGATGAAAATACCCCGTAAAATACCGCTGTAATTTATGGAGTTGCGGTGACAGATGTATAATAATAGCATATTTTTTTATAATCACGATGTGTTCGTGGTTATCATGGCATATATTTTGTAATCACGTTGTGTTCGTGGTTATCATGGCACATAATAGGTGATTTTCCGTACAATTGCGAGATCTCGCGGGATGCATGAAAGACGCGCGTCGAACGTCTGCCGCAAAAATCGAACGATTTGATTTTGAACTAGAATTTCTTTATTTCGCAGCTTACATTGACCGGCCGATCTTCGACAGAGGAATATTGCTTCCGAATACCCTTACTTAATCGAAATTGCCTATCATCAAATGTGGACAGCACATTATTAAGCATGGAAATGTCCCCGAAATACTTTCGCGTTTGTCGAATCCCACGCGATGTTTGACGCAACTACGACGCTATGACCTTTGTTTGTTCTGTTTTTACGTTCGATTTCACGCATAACGTGTGATTCTCGCAATGAACGGAAAATGGTCTATTTGTAATCACGTTGTGTTCGTGGTTATCATGGCACATATTTTGTAATCTCGATGTGTTTGTAATTATCATGGTACATAATTTGTAATCACGATGTGTTCGTGGTTATCATGGCACATAATTTGTAATCACTTTGTGTTCGTGGTTATCATGGCACAATTTGTAATCACAATGTGTTATTGGTTATCGTGGCAAATATTTTGTAATCAGGTGTGTTCGTGGTTATCAAGATCAAGATTTGCTTCAGAATCAAGTTAGTCACGTCATATGACCTTTGACTTTGAATTTGCGCTTACAGTGTATCAGAAATCCATCTTCACCAGTGGTTAGACCAAGGTGATGATGTCATAAATGAGACCCAGAAATGAGTCATTTGTTTGTGGACAGTAAATTAGAAATACAACATGCAGCTTGCATTTTGTCATTAGGTCACAATGTTGCCTAGCAACAACTATGTTAGTGGGCAGGTGCTCAGAGTGGAAGGAAGTTCTTTTAAATACTTAATAAATGTAATAATAGTAAGGCACTTATATTGAAAGCCCTGTGTGAATACGGACTGAATGAAAAACACGATTCGATATTGATTATATTGATTAGTAATTATTAGGAATGTTGGGATTGATTTGCAAAACAATACAATATGTTAATTAGCTCTGTTGTATTCACTGTTATGATAATTACATTCTATTGTTTATCCACTTGCAAGATATTAGGCGCAACTAATTCTAAATTATATTCAAATTTGTATACTAGTATTTTTTTTTTCTGTTTACGTGGAAGAACCGAATATGGCCAGCATTGTCCGTACTGTAGATAGATATCACGCAGTATTGCCAGCATTGTCCGTACTGTAGATAGATAGCACGCAGTGATGTACAGCTCCTTTCAGGTCTAAAGTTATTCATTGGTGTCATAACATTCAGCAAAGTTAAACACGGTCTTCACAATAGACGCGTTTTAAAGAGCTCATTTTTCTCCCATGTGAACACGATTGTTGAAAGGCTGGCAAAGAATTGCTTAAACACACTCGATGTTTGTCGCGTTTTCAAATGTATGTGAACTTTTATTGTCACGCCATTGACATGCCCACCCCAGTATTAGTGCGTTCGACCCAACCATTATAATATCTTGCGTGCGTGTGCGCTAGTTCCCAGCAGTCGTATCTGTTGCCTACCACGACTTTCATTTTCCTATGTACTGCATTCTTTTTTTATTCAACGTGGTTTGTCAAGGTGTGTCATTGTTTAGCAATGTACTGTCCTTTCATATGCACTATATTATTATTTTGAAAAGTACAATATTCTAAGTTGTGCCTTGTATTGTGCTCTATCAATGTCAGGGTAAGGAAGGCCTCCTAGAACAGTATTGATTACAACACATAATACAAATTGAATTTCTGTATCAATTATTCTGTATTCTGTATCAATATTAATATATTTATGAATATCTCCGAATGTCTGACTTACTCTCATAGGAACTGTGTTGGAAAGTCGGTCGCGATTTAGTTAGTAACTAAATATGGGCATTAGATGTTATTGATATTCAAACCAGATCGACGTTCTTTGCAATTTTCGCATAGTTTTCTATTAAAATGTGGTCGCGATTTTGAATAGGGCTTAGATTGATCTAACTAAAATTAATATTCGCCTTGCAATACGCGTTGTTTGTTTTGTCGTTATCATATTGTTTACCAACGAACATGGCCTATGCACTTAAAAAATGGTGTTACAGCAAAGGCCGCCGATTATGTACGATAACAAGGTTGCTTGAAAACACGACATTGTTGGTTTGACGAATGTTTAATTTGGTGTTAAACATTTGAACTAGAGTACAATGGAGGCATATCACGATATGTACGACCGTACATAAATATATGCACGCTCTCAACGGGTATTACATGGGTTCAAATAAAACATGGTCTGAATACGTACCTTGGTTCGAGTAACACCGTGAGTTGCTAATTCTACGTTAGCAAAGTTGCCCTTTCCTAACGGTCGGCCATCGATAATATAACGTCCTATATATTGAAGTTTAACCATGGTGTCCACTCAAGTCGATTTATGAGTTTGTAAAGTCACTAACTGGATTTCCAACCCCTTCACATAATCCCAACTACAGCCAGCGACGAAGCGAAAACTAGAAGAACCGGATGTACAAGTCCGAAGCACTGACACCAAACAACGAGAACAGCTATCATATATATGATTTATCCGAGGAGTTTCGTTACGTTCTGCAAAGCTGCATCTCCTGGTTAGATTCCATCAGAAAGCTCCAATTGCATTCGTCGAGCAATGCGTCATGTCACTTAGACCTCCACGGGAACCCGGCAGTGAATAAACATATGCACTAAACTTAAATCTGTTCACAAACCACACACACAGCAAACACGGTGTGAGCCTAACGTACACAACTTACTGATTATAGGCGATAAACACGATCACATGACATGCAAAGTCGCGTTCCATTGGTCGACAACCAACGTCGTCGGGCAGAGTGGCATATCAGCGTTCTAGAACACTGTTTTAAATTCGAATTCTGCGTTCGCGAACGGTCGCATATCAGCGCCCAGTACGCGCATTGAGGAATACACCCGAACAATGAATAACCGGCGAACAATAGACAGAAGTCAACGCGATATTTAAAATAACGATGTAACACACTAATGCATTGGTAACAGGATAGCACAAAACTACAATCCAATACAATTCGTTCAGATAGTGCAATGATAGGCGATATGTTTGGTCAACATAACTTGTTATAATATTTATTATGTGGTATTTGTAAAATATGCACTAATAACTAAAAATTTAAATTAAAAAGACCAATACTGTATTGCAAAAATATATTTTTAAGCTTTTTAATAGTATGCATGTTTACTAGAGTTAACTATGTCCAAGAACTAATAACGTACAGTAGTGTGTTAGTTGCATTGGCACCGAGTTTGATGAGTCTATTTGTAGTACATTGCAATACATAATAAATTGTTATTTACGATGGGACGTTGTTTACTCTTTGCCGTGACTAATGTGTGTATCACCTCCTATCAATCTATTCGCTGATACTCAAAAGTCGTCACGGTATAAGTGGACCCGCGTGTATCACGTGGCCGTCATACCTGCCGGGGGCAGTGCCGAGTCTGCCAGTGCGTTAGAGCTACCTGTCTCCCGCCCCAGGCATATTTTTCACAGTGCTCAATGCAAGAGGTATTGAATTCGTTGCTTTCTGACGTTCACACGACGCAAACTTCGCGTCATGTTGGTATACTAGGTAACGCGGTGAATAGAATGAC